AAATAATATTACGAAAATTAAAAGATTATATATTTAAATTTTTTTTTTTTTTTTTTTTTAGATTCTTTATATGGAATGAATCAAAAAGAAAAAAAAAAAAAAAAATTTAAGTATAATGTATTCTTAAAATATCTGTAATTTTTTGAGAAAGTATAAATAAGGAAAGAATAAAATTTTCTTTTCTAAATTTATTTTTTTCCGTTTCTAAATCATCTGAACTTCTAAAATGTGAGTCACATATATCATACGTGGACCTAAAAATAAATTCATTTTCTTCATAAAACCTTCTTAAGTTTAACATTAAATCTATTTTATTTTGTACATCATTCTTTAATTTATGAAATAAAAAGTCTCTAGAAAATAATTCATTTACTGATGTAAATTCAGACTTCAAACTTCCAAAATAATTTTGAATTGTAGTTGAAGTATAATTTTTTTTTTTTTTAAGTAAATCATCATCATTTAAATTAGGCGATTTTATTATTTTTACATTAAAATTTTCTATTAAATTTAATAATTTTTTAATTGATTGTATTTTTTTGTTTAATAAAGTTACATTCAACAAAGAAGTAAAACCTTTATATGCACTCATTAAATGATTAGAATTTTTTTCATATTCACTTGGATCCTTTTGTACCTTAGAAAGAGAGTTATTTCCACTTGATTTTTGTAAAAATAAAATATATTTTTCCTTAATTATATTTACAAAATTATATCCTTTTAAAATAGACCCTAATACATTCATATGTATTTTTATTAAACCGAGACCCTCCTGAATATTATAGAGTGTTCGTGCATTTTGAATTTTTTTTTTTTGTATAAATAAAAACATTGATACAAATGTACTTTTTATATCATCAATTTTATTTTCTTTTAATAATTCATTTATACACTTTTCTTTGTGTTCCTCAATTTCCTCATTTAAAAGATTTATAAATTTTTCTAAATATGATTTTGCTTCATTTATTTCGGTACTATAATCTGATGTATTTTCTGAATTAATTGTTTTTTCAATATTTGTCATTATATTTTCTACCTTTAAAAGAATATTTTCTGTATATTTTTTCTTACAACTATAATTAGATGTTCCAAAAATAGAACCAATTTTTACTATTGGCAATTCTTCTACACAATTTTTATATTTAAGAATAGATTCTATTTTATTAAAAATAATTGTATAATCAGTATTTATGCCATTTTTAAAAAGATCCAATATAAAGCACATGTTAGAACTTAATTCAATATTATCAGAATAAAAATTTAATTTAAATGATAATAATTTTTTATTAAATGCTTCTATTCGTAATGGCAAATGTTCGTTTAAGGAATTATAAATTTTATGCATTTCTATTACAGTATATAAGTCTAAATTTAATAAGGTAGTTTCAATATATTTGTTTATCAAATTAAATCCTTTGATAAGAGATTTATAATTTTCATTATGTATTACTTGTAATTCGTATAATATTAATTTCATAACATTGATAACTTCATATACAGAATGAAAATGCTCTTCATTAAATAATGAACTAAATTTATCAATAAATATTTGAAGATCCCTTTTTTGATTTTCTTTACTAATTACTAATGAATTATCTGTATTATCTTTTTGAACACTACTCAAATCTGATTCTTTTCTTTTTCTTTTTGCTTTTATTTCTTTCTCTTTTTCTGAGCTTATATTTTTTGATAATGATAATCTTTCTAAATGTAAATTCTTACTATTCACTTTACTTTTACATTTATTTTTTCTTTAAATAAAAAAAAAAAAAAAAAAAATATACATATATATATATATATAATATTTAATGAAAAGAATTCTTCATATAAAAAAAAATAAAGATAAAATAAAAATATACAATTGTTTAGATGAACAGGGTTCCTCGTCCTGTGATAAGACAGTTTTCTTTGTTACTATAAAAAACTATAAAAAAAAAAAAAAAAATAAAAATAAAATAAGTTATTATATACTATTCATATTATATTTATATTATTTTTGCATGGATGTTTAACTAGAATAAAAGAAAGGAAAAAACTTAGTTTTGCCATTTTTTTAAAAAATAAAATGTTCACTATTTATTTGTTTTTATATTGAATTAGGTGTAAGTTTAATATATAAACGCTTTGTTGTATTTAAGTAAAAATCTAATAATTCTAATTGTGTTTTCTTTAAACTTCTATAATATACTTGTATATATATATATATATGAATATAACTAATTTTTTATATTTTTTTAAAAAAATAAATGAAACAAAACAGTTAATTTATATATTAAATTACTACTTTTACAACAATGCATAATTTTCAAAGGAACATATATTCTATTTTTACAATGAAATTTTATCGAGCTTATTTTTAAAACTTTCTTTTATTCTCTTTTTTTTTTTTTTTTTATAATAAGAAAAAAAGATTAAAATTTAAAGTTTATAATTTAAAAAATCACATAATTATTAAGGTTGATAACTTGTCTTTTTTCTCACATAAGCATTTTTAATAATTTTTGTTTCTATATATTTTGAGACAGTGTAATAAGAAAAAAAATAAGTTTCTAGCAAAATTATGAAAGAATAATTATTACAATATTTAATAAAAGTATTATAAAATATTACTTTTTATATAAATAAATTAAAAAATATAGCTTTAAATAATATTCAACAATTTATGTGTTCTTTATTTTTTTTTTATAAAAACTCATAATTTATATTTTTTAAAGATTAACATGCAAATTTTCTGAACAAAAATTTACAATAGATTTCATATTTGTGACTCTTATATATTAGTTGAACTAAAAATGTTTTTCTGTTCTTTTCTTTAAATTAATAATTATTTTTTTTTTTATCAAAAAAAAAAAAAAAAAAAAAGAAATATATATATATAGTAAAACAAAATAATAATAATAAACTTAATAGAAATAATATTTTTAAGTATTATATTTTTTAACAACACTACAATAGTAGACTTAGACTTGTTGTTAATAAAAAAGAGTAAACATAAAAAGTTCTTAAAGATAATAAAAAATTTTATATTAAATTTTAGGAAATATATATATAAAAAATAAACAAAAATTTTGTATATGAATGAATTTAATTTAGGACTTTTATATCTGAAAAAGTTGATGAATTATTGTAATAAATTTTAAATTAAAAAGTCTTTTGTATTTTCACTCATTCATTAATTTATATTACAATTTTTTCATTAAGTTTTTGATTTATTTTTTATAGTAAAAATTTCATTAATTAATTTTATTTTATTCGTTTATTTTAATGTAACTATATGAACTTATTTTTTTAAAACTATCGGCATGTTCTATCTCACACATCGTCATTTATAAAATTATTAGTTTTATCATATTTATATTTATATTTATTTTTTTTTTTTTTTTTTTTGTTTTTAAATGTTCAAAGTATATTTTAAAAAATATATTTTTTTTTTCTCAGAAATTTTTTTTTGATATTTTGTCTGACTTTTTGTTTTAACTTATTTTACTTAATTATATTTTTAATTTTCATATTAATCTTATTCTTAAAAATTATCAATTTAAAGAAGTTTTTTTTCTTATATGATTCATAAAAATTATTTGAATTCTTAACATTTTAATATAACATTTATTATATAATAACATTAAAAGGAAAAACAATTTTGAATTTTCCTTTATAAATTATTATGATAAATATTAATCAATATATATTTATACATGTTAATACATATATTCGTCGAATTTTCCTTAAATAATTAAAAATGATTAAAAATACTTAAAATTATTTAAAAAAAGTTTTTAAAATAAAAATATATAAATAAAAATTGAATATATATAAATATATAGTATCTAATAATAAATTACTACTAATTTTATAAAAAAAATTAGATGCATTCATTAGAATATTTTCAAATAATTATATATAAAATACCTTGTTAAAATAAAAAAAACAAAAAATTTTAATAAAAATATATATATAAATATGTAGTATCATTAAAAACTATTAAAAATAAAAGATTTTTTATATAAAGATTATTATTTATAAAGAATTCTTTTTTTGTAAATGTATAACAAATATATAAAAAATAGATAATATAAATATATACTTATTTATATTATCTAATTAAATTTAATTTCTGAAGTTATTAATAGCCGTGATAGCTCAGTTGGGAGAGCGTCAGACTGAAGATCTGAAGGTCCCTGGTTCGATCCCTGGTCACGGCAAAAAAAAAATGTTTTCTATTTTATATATATATATGTAATTTATATTATATATAATTATAATGTTATTTTAAAAATTTAAATAAATTTAAGAAAATATTTTTACATATATATATATATATATATTCACTTATATAATTCTTTTATATTTAAAATTGTGAAACCATTTTAATTGTGTATTATAAAAATATTGAATTTCTTTGTTTTTCTTATTTATATGAAATTATTTATATTCTATAGGTATATATAAAACTATAAAATTATTTTATATATACAAATATAAGAAATATTAAAATATTCTTTTTATGAAAGGAATATAATATATTTCTTTTATATATTTTTTATATATTTTCTATAAATGGAAATGTATTGTTTTATTTAATCCAGAAATATACTTAATAATTAAATCATTCAAAAATGTTATTTATACTTTTTTAATAAAATATATAAAAATTTAAAATATTGATTAAACGTTATATTTAATTAAAAAAAAAAAAAAAAAAGAAAGAAATTAAAAATAGAAAACTTTAAACTAAAAATTAGAAAAAATAAAAATTTTAACAAAAAAAAAAAAAAAAAAATAAATAAATAAAAATTTATGAAAGATTAACAACAATAAAGTTTTGAAATAATAAGATAATTTCAAAGAAAACATATTTGAATAACCTTTATTCATGAAAAATAGCATTTTTTATATTTCTTAAATTTAATGCTGACATTAAATATCTTTCAAATCCTAAAGCTAAACCTCCATGTGGCTTAGAAGAGAATTGAAATGAATTGAAATATTTATGTATAGTTGAATTTTTACTAATTATATTTTGAAAATGATTCAAATAACCTAAAACTGTAAAATTTGTTATGTTTAAATATTTTGATATATCAATTTTTTTATTTTCTTTCAATACTTTAAATAACAAAATAGGTAAATTATTAATTCTTTGACTACCTGATATAATTTCCATCCCTTTATAAATGAAATCAAAACTATTCGTAAAACGAAGATCATACATGTTACTTAAAGTATAATAAGGTCTAATATATATAGGATATTGATCAATTATAAATAAATCTGTTTCATAATTATATTTTAGAAATAAATACAAATAATTTAATTGATCATTTGTAAAATCATCATAAAAAAGATATTTATCTTTTAGATTCTTATCTGCTAAAGTTTGCTTAACACACATTTTTTTTTCTTGAAAATTATTCAACAAACCTAAAAAATTATAATTGCATACTTCTGTTCGAAAATCTTCTTTATCTTCTTTATTAATATTACAACATTTATTGCAACTATTAAATGTATTATTATTCAAATTTGAACAATTGCATTTTATGATATTATCATTAATAGATCTATGATTTACGTTATTATTCATATCATATTTTTCGTCAACTTCATTAGTATTGTTATAGTAGTAGTTATTACTACTAGAATTTTTCGAATAAACGTTTTCATAAATCATATTAAAGAATAATAATATATTTTTATATAATTCGTCTTTATTTAAATTATTTAAAAATTTATAAATATCTGAAGAGCTATTGTCTCTTTTATTTTTATTGTGTTTTATATTTATTTTATATTTTTTTACAATTTTGTTATAATAATACACATTGTGCAATTTATTATTTCCACAAGACTCAAATGATATTTTTTTTTTTAATTTATCTTTTTCTTCTTTATTCAAAATTTTAATATATTTCTTATAAGTATTATTATATATATAATTTTCTGATGAATTTTTTTTTAAATAATATTTATTAAGTAACTCATGAGCTTCACAAAAAGATAAAACAATGGGATTTTTTGAAATTTTACTTTTTTCAAAAGTTAATTTCTTATCTTTATGAACTAAATTAATTAAATTTAGTTCATCGCAAAAGGAATCATTTAAATAATTATTTAAATATTTTAGTATATCATACATATAAATTATTATTTCATAATAATTATCATAAATTACTTGTTCAATATCTAGTGATAGAAATTCATTCAGGTGTCTAGATGTATGAAATTTCTCATTTCTATATGAATAATTCATTTCAAAAATTTTTTCATAATCTGAATTTATTAGCATTTGTTTATAAAATTGTGGGCTTTGAACTAGTAATAAGTTTTCTTTTTCAATTTTATAGCAATTACATCCACCTTCTGAACCATTTAACTCAATAATATTTTTTTCTGTATTTTTCTTATTTATATCTTCTTTTTTTTTAACCATTTTAATATCAGAATTTTCTCCAGATTCTGTATTATTAGTAGTATTAATTTGATTTTTTTTGTTAATTTTTATAAATTTAGATGTGAATACTTCTATATAATTATCTTTATGCAATAAATTTTTTAACCTCTGAGATAATTTACTTTTAATATTAAAAATTATATGATTTATTGAATTTCTGTAATTTAAGCAAAAATTATGTGATTTTAAAATATTTTCATTGGTATTTATTATTTCATTATTATTAATAAATGAATTGTCTGATATATTTTCATAGATGTTTATATTATTTTTATCAATTTCATTGTCTCCTGCTTTATTATTATTTTCCATAGTTTTTATTTTATTATTCATATTATCATCATTTGAAGAATTATAATTTATTATATTTTTTTTTTCTTCTTCATCTTCTTTTTCATTCTCTTGTATATCTTTTACTTCATTTTTTCCACCTTTTCCTTGTATACTTTCATAATTTAAAATGTTTTCATTTTGATTTAAGAAACTATTATCATTTATCATAATAGGTATATCATAAAATGATTCTGATATACAAGATATTTGGAATATCATGATTTCTAAACTTTTTTGATTATATAAACTCTCTAAGTAAGGAATATCTATTTGTTGTAATTTTCCATGTAGCTTTATTTTCCCTATAATATCAACAACACTTTCATTTTTTAAAGTTTTAATATATTTATACAAGTCATCTGCATTTTTATTTTCTAATTTTTTTTCATAAACACATGTTAGATATATACCATAATCTTGCCTTAAATATAAAAAGATTCTTTTTGATTGTTTAATTTTTCTTTCAATTCTTCCTCTAATACGTATAAAATTTTTATCTATAATCGTTTTTTTTTTTGTATTCTCTTCATTTGAGTTAATATTTATAAAATTATTTTTATTTTCTTTAATATATTTGATAATATTTTCATAAAAATAAAAATTTCTATTAGAATTTGTACCGTAAAAAAAAGAAAGATCCCCAAATTCTACCAAATTTATGAAATCATCATAATTCCCATCTAAATTTATAGTCTTTATTTTATTCTCATGTTTTATATTTTTTTCTTCAGAAAATATGTTATCATCTTTTTTGTTGATACATTTTCTAATGTCACATATTTTTTTTTTCTTTCTTATTTTTTCATTACTCAAACTAAAATTGGTATAGTATGAATTAATAAAATTTTTTAATTTCTTTATTCTTTTATTATTATTTTTTTTAATAAAATTAAAAATATTTCTACTTTCTCTTTTTACTAAATTGTTATATTCAAATGTTTTATAATTTTTTTTATTCTTTAAATTAAAAAAAGTGGGAAATTTAATTTTAGAGCTTATAAAAACATTTTTAAAATATATATTTAAGTAAAATAATAATAAATGTCTAAATAATTTCATTTTTTTTTTTTTTTTTTTTTTGCTCTATTTTAATTTGAAAAAAAAAAAAAAAAAAATGAAATTGTTTAATTATTTTTTTTTCATTTTAAGATTTATATAAATTACTTTATTAACAAAAAAAATAAAATAAAAGTAAAATACATAATAAATAAAGAAGAAAAACACACAAATATTTTAATACATTAAATATATTAACATATCAAAAAAGATATTGTAGTATTTTCATAGGAAATTTATATATATATATTTAAAAAATAATATTTCAAATAAACAATTATATAGTTATTTTATAGAATTATTTTTAATTTTTTTTTTTTTTTTTTTCTCTTTACACTATGATTTTAAAAGTTTTAATAATATTATTTTAATATAAGATATTTCAAAATATTACAATGAAAAAAGTATTTTTTTTTTTTTTTTATTTTTCATATAAGCAACTTTTATTTTAAGTATATATTATTTTTCTAGAATTATTAAAAAAAGTTAGAAAAATAACTTTGATATATTATGATAATATTTAAAAAAAAAATTACATTTTAATTAATAAAAAAAATATACATATTATGTAATTATAAAGATAAAAAATACATATATATGTATATCTAAAAAAAAAAAAAAAAAAAAAAAAAAAAAAAATAAAAAAAAAAAAATTTTAAAAAAAAAA